GTTGGGAATGAAAAAAGACCGTGCAATGCATGTATAGAGGGGTGCACTTATCTCTTAAATCCCAAGCTCGGGAATGAATGTGAGCGTGCATTTAGAGAGGGTGTGCATATAGGGGGGTTGACTGTATATACAAGAAATTCAAATGCAAGAAAAATAAGTAATCGAAACATCATATTTTGGAAGAGTGTTAACAAGAGTTTGACCCATAGTTACATTATTTATACGTGCGAGAATGCAAAAAGAGTGTTAATTACACTTCTTTGACAAGCATCTAGTTTCATTCATGATGATAGTAACAGATTTTTGACCAAAAAAAAAGTTTTAAAATTTTCTAAATGCGCAGAAAAAGCGCGAAGTAGATATGATTGACGTAATGTTGTTTCTTGTAGAATAGTACCACCTTCTTTACAATGTTTTCTAAAAAAATTAAGAATCGACTTTTCCTAAAGGGGACAACCGCTATAGCAAAGGCTTATGAATTATAATTTTTTTAGATTCAGAAGAAGGAGAGGAGGTAACAAGTGTTTGTTGTAATTGACGTTGTTTATACAGATCTTTTTAGTTTACTATCAAGGGGCACCAACCGTTGACTTTCACGACCAATCAGCAGAATGGTCACATCATCAATGTGAAATCTACCAGGATTTTCTTCTACTCTAGGATTAAATTCCTATTTTCCTTGATTTCTGCGCCTTTCTGCATAGAAAATTGTCTAAACCCTGTTCCTATTTTTGATCGGGTAGAAATATGTTTATCTTATACTAAAAGAGAAGGTATGGTCTACTTGCACATTTTAAAAATTTTTGTACAGAGGATTCTATCAAGTTTCTGATTGTATTAATACATTACAGGTAAAGAAGACATTAGATGTAAAGTATGATCAAATGGTTTTAATAATCGAAATTTTACAAAATAGCTATAGAAAAAATTAAATATATTTTTAACTCCTAGAAATCTTGTCTATAACGTAACAATGCTATTTTTTGTTTATTATGGCCTTTTAAAATTGGTGTTAGTGAACATCCAGAATTACCTCAACATTGTTCTATTTATCTAGTGTTCGTACTGGTTGGTCTTAACATTATCCATTTAAGGTGGTTGTCTTGGTAACTTAGATATCAATCGTGTGTTCCGTTTATCTTTGTCTCTGAATGATCTCATTCCTTATACTACTTATGCTCCTCCTAAAGATGAAACTTAATGAAGAGAGCCCAGGATAATCTACATTAGAAACCCTGTTGATGAGTTCTACAAAAAAGCAGTGCGTGGTTCCTTACCAATTTCGAAGTAGCCATCATACCACCTTTTAACGGGTCTGCTATGTCTCATTGCCTCAACTGAGAAATTAATTCCAAGAGGTCTGTTTGCAAGATGCTTACCTGGCCCCACAAACCAATTCTGCAAACGTCTTGTTTCTAAGGCCGATGAATTGGGTAAAAAGGTAACCGAACTTATACGAGCAAAGCCTAGGGATGAGGCGTTTCCAAATCGGTTTCAAGTAAATTGCTAATTCTAGAGCTGATTTTTTCTTACAAGCTACTAATTAAATTTGTTTATAGTAATGGTTTAATATGGTTACTTATTGGAAATAAGTAACAAATTTCTTGAGAATCCAGAATCTTCAGAATTATAGGAATTTGGAACCGGTCCAAGTAACAAAATTACCAATGCTTTGGAGATGATTTTCTGGTGAGAAACTATTAATAGAATTTATTTATACCAAAATTTTTTTTAAAGGGCGTTACTTATTATAGTTAGGTAATTATTTACGATTTGGAATCGCCCCATCCTTAGCAAAGCCTGCTGCTGTAGCAAATTTATCAAACATAACTTGGGTGAAAACAAAGCGTTTAGATGTAATGAATGTAGAATGGTGACGGATAGGGATCTTAATAGCGTTCAAGGAATATTCCAGAGAGCTTTGCTTGACGGGACTGTTTGTATGCAGTGAACTTGCTGTATATACGTACTAATTGATTGTTTATTTTTTTATCAAAAATAAAAAAGAGAATAGAGTCACAAAAAAATTATTTGAAATTAATCATGTTGTATATAATATTATTAGTATTTATTAGAATAAGAATCAGCAAGATCTCGAGTAAGAAGAACTTGAGATTGAGTTTTGCTTTCCTAAAACTTTCGATGACAACAATTATATTCATAAAATATGAATTAAGAATTAATTAATTATTAGATAATTCTTTTTTCTTTTTATAATAATAATATTTTTGTAGGTAAAATAATTTCAATAAATTAATAATAAATGAAAATTATAATAATTTATTTTTCATTAGTTTCATAAATCCATTGATCTTTTGGTGGTTGAACTTCAAGAGGTTCCCATCTAATATATATACATAATTTGTTTACTTTCTCTTCCATAAATAAAATGAGCAAACAGCATAATCAAATATTTTTAGATTAATTAAACTTACGGTTTCCATTCTTCCATTTTACCGACCAATTTCAATTCATCTTCTGCTTGTACAATCAACTCTTCAATTTGTCCACAATTTATCTTATTCTCAATTTCCACAATTTCTTTTGTACCTTCCACAATTTTTAATCTTTGTTTAGTGAATGATTCAGTGGCTTGACGATAAACTGAGGTTGAAGGCAGTTTTGTGAGCGCTCTCAATGTTTTATCATAGATTTTTATTAAGTGTGGTCTTGGATTTGGATGTACTTCTATCCCAAATATTCCTGTTGTTGTCTAAATTAATTCTAATTTTTATAAATTTCTGATTCAAGGTTTCATTTTATTTTTTTTTTTTGTTTTTTTTTTTTGAAAGAAATAAATAGTTTACCTTTTGTGCCGCTTTGAATAAATTTCTTGTAGCTTGCATTGTTTCAAATTATTTTTTAAAAATTTACGTGTGACAACGATAGTTAAGAAAAATGATAATCATAAATAATCACTTTTTGAAATTGTAAAAGATCTGCGACTATTTTTCACCTTTAAATGAACTTTAAATATAAAACCCCCATAATAAATAATAACTCAAATAGAAGAAAGTTTAGGTGAAATAACACGTATTGTTAGAACATCTACCACCTCTGAGAAAAGACTAATGCAAGGAACTTTTTATTTTATTATTTTATTTGGTACGGGGGGCTTTTTTGTGATTAATAAAAAAAGTCCCAAGCTATATATATCATTGAAATCCATAATAATTATCACGTGAAACACGAACTGCACGAAATATGTATCGATCTTCCGAATATTTTTTGGTGTCAAAAAAAAAAATAATTTTCTATTTATTTTATTCTATCCAAATTTACAATACTTGTGACTTAATTTTTTTTGCCTTGTCTCTCTTTACTATTTACATTATTAATAATATTATTTAAACACAAAAAAATTTAATGGATAACCGGCAAACAAAACTTGAAGAATCTAATAATAATAATAATAATACAGCAAGCTCACCAAAAGTTATATGGAACAGTGGACAACAAACATTTAAGCCTACAAACCGAGTTATAATGCTTATTGGCTTAGATCCTAATAGTACTCCTGGCTTAATAATGGTTTGAATTTAAAAAATATGAAATCTATAAAGTTAAAAAAATATTTCTATAAATAAAAAATAATAAAAATAAAACTTAACATTTAATTCTTTTTAGAAAAGCTTTGAAGCTCATGGTTTTAAAGTTTCTGTTGACTATCGACGAGATGATACTACAGGTTACGTTCATTTAAATTTACAAATGGCAAAAGAATTCTCTGCGCATATTATGGCAAAGGGTGGCTTGAAAGTTGGCACCGAGACTGTGATTCTTCGTGCTCTTGATGGTTAGTTACTTATTATTTCTTTCTCTTTTACTACTATTACTATTACTATGTTATTGTTATTATTGTTACTATGACGAGTTTAATTAATAAAGATAATAGAATACATATAATATAATATATTGGTATTACTATTATCACTATAATTAATAATCGACTAATCAACTAATAGGTATTGATGAAGCAATGTATTGGGGTGTTTATGCAGCCACACGAAGTATAGGTTCAAAGGCTACAAATCAATATAAAACTAATAGTAAAGCAAGACATACTAGACGACTTCATCGACATAGTCCGTATTTAACAAATTTTAAAAACATTGAAATCGATGACGATATCGAAGATCAACAGCAACAACTTTCAATAAAATTTCATCTTAATAAATGTCACGGCAATAATCAACATCAACATCATCATAAAATTCATCATTACGTTACCAAACAAAAATCTAAAAATAAAAAAAAATCAAAATGTAGTTCAAAAAATCAAGAAGCTGCCAGTCATAGCATGATACTAGAAACTAACAACAACAACAACAACAACAACAACAACAACAACAATAATAAAAATAACAAAACCAAAAACAATAATGCCATGGAATACGAAATACGTTCAACAAACACCAATGATTACAACCAATTATTAAACAACTCATCATCCTTCATATTATCAACATTCAAAGATGAGACTGAAGAAGTGGAATGGAAGTTTAAGAATATGAGAGTAGTATCTCCTGATGAGTAAATTATTGTAATTAACAATAGTTGTAATAGTCGTAGTAATATATGTTCAAAAAAAAGCACATTGTATAATCTAAAAGGTATTATAAATTTATAATAAAATACACATTATTTTCATTAAAAATATTTTTTTGGGGGTTTATAATAATATTTAATGTATATATCTACATGCGTGCATGTCTATATGTATATTTTATAATCATGAACATTTTTCTTTATCTTGACATTATAAAATAATTTACTTTGTTTCTGAGAATTCAGTCTAAGGAATAGAATTTAATGATATAAATAATAATATTATTATTTTTTCTTCATTTGCTTAATCTTTTATTTATTTTAGATTACACTAGTAGTGTTAATAGTAGTGGAATAAATAGATGATTGTAGTAACTCATAAAATTTTACTATCAATTAAATTTATTTCTTTTTATTTTTTTTTAATTAATTGCAGAGATTTCATAAAGTCTTACATTTCACACTCACATTCCAATCTTCACTCTCTATATTTAATGAAATATTAGTTTAATTTATATAGATTCCAAATTTCTTCGAATTGGAAAAAGACTACATTATTAAAACAACTAGCTGTATATATAATAATAAATATAATTAAATAAATTATTCTACATTGTGTATAAATATATATATATAAATAATTTTTTTTTCTTATTTTCTTATCTTCTTATCAACTTTTATTTCTTTCAATTAATGCTTTATCATTATAATCACCATTATTAATTATTATGTTGTTGTTGTTGTTGTTGTTACTACTATTATTATTATTTTCTTCTTTTTGTAATCCTATTCCTTCAGCTATTGATAACATTTGTCTTAATCCTTGATTTTCAATAATCAAACTTTCTAAAAGAATATCGTTTTCTAAATCTGATTGTGCATCATATGCTTGTCTCACTAAACTACTTATTGTTGAAATATGTGTTTGTAATGATACATTCTCTGATATGATTTGTTCCTTTTGAGACTTAAAAAAAAACAATCATTAGATGATATTAATTATTTGTTAAAAATATATTAATATAAACAATATGAACAGTGTTACCTTTTCCTCATTTAATAATGATTCATAGTGTTGTTTTAATTCTAATTTATTTTGTTGGACTTCATACTTTTAAATTAAAAAAATATTAATTAATTAAAATATATTTTTTTAAAAATAAAAATAAAAATAAAAATAAAAGATTATTTCAATGATATTTACTGATTGACTTCTAAATTTATTCATAATTATTTGTAAAGTATTTTCGTATTCTTTTATTATCAATGACAATTCAGAATTCTCTTCATTTAATTGCTGATTTTCAAACGTCAAGAAAGCATTCTGTCTTTCGAGTTCTGTGCCTGACTCAAAAGAAGGCGGAACTTTCAACAAAAAAAAATAAATGAAAATAAATAAATACGAATATTCAAATAAAATTTAAAGATCGATGATAATATTAATATCACCTTTGAAATTTTGGCAAAGTATAGGGTTCTCTAATTCTTGTGTACGATTCTTTAATAATAAAATAAAAATATAAGTTTTAATTAAAAAACATTCTTGTAATAATCAAATAATTGAAATAACAATTACTAACTCTTAAAATTTCCAATTTTTGTTCTAAGTTTTTGGTATGATCTCGATTTATTGCAAGTTGGTTACATAAATCTTGAATAAATTTTTTGAGACGGACTGGATCATCCTCAATACTTATCATTTCTGGTGCCATTATTCAACAAGAGAAATTTTTAAGAGAGAACTGTTTTGATAATTAACTTAAATTGTTCTACATAATTTAAAAATTTCTGGGGTCGATCTTTGTACAAGGGTTCCTTATTGGAGGATTATTATATGGGGCATGCTGGATACAAAACCAGACAAAGTGAACATTAGTATTACCAAGAATTTCAGGGATCAATAATGTTTGTTTAACATCACAATTGTATTACAATATAATGTGGTCATGAATCCAATGCAGGTCATTTCTTAAAATCGAATGCCACTCCTTTAAATTTTTAAAAATATATATGGAGAAATGGTCCATCCTATATCAAGTTTTATTATTTCATGGAAAAATTTCACAGAACAAAATTACAGAAAATTTATTCATAATCTTTTTAATTAATTAGCAATAGACCACAGCAATCACATATTTAATGACAATTAATAACACCTGTTGATTCAACACATTATTTCACACGCATTTTCTTATTATTATTATATATGTTTTGGTGAAGTAGTCATTTTTGTTGTCATTTTAGGTGTTGTTGAACTTTGATTCCAAAGAAAATCTTTTATAGAATTGGTATTATCAGATAAAAGTTTCTAAATTATATACATATAAATGTTAATTCTATACTTTTATATCTATATTTCACACAAATCATTCATATTACCTCATATTTTAGTAAACCACTAGTTGTTTCATGTGCTCTTATCATATCTTTCCATGTCCTTGGTATAGGTATTCTCAACACTTCTTTTGCCATATAAATTTCCAGGTATTTTAATTGGAATTCATATACAATTAATTCACACACTGTAAAAAAAACAAGGTTAATAATATGTAATAACAATAATTTAAGAATAATCCACTTACAGTATGATTGTATCCCATAAAGTTTAATCAATCTAATATCTTCCTGTGGATTAATTTCTGCAAATCTGTTCATTAAAATTTTCATGATTTTCATGATTTTAATCCTATCACCTAAAAATGGGACCAATCCTGTTTTGTTATTGGTCCACTCAATTCAGCAACAGAGAATTTTTCTTCATCTCCTCTTAATGAGAGAATCAGATCAATTTTTCTACCACCAGATTGGCATTCATCATCTAATTGATTTCTTTTGCACTAGCTTTTAAACATGTTTTACCACAGGGTTGGCAAATTGACTGGTTCATTGAGAACAGATGAATTTTGGACTAGTCCATTGCCATTAATACAATACTAAATATGGTTAAAGTGTTACACCAATGGACCTAATGGACCACCAATAGACCATCAATGGACTGCACATTTGCCAACCCTGTTTCACCATATGCAAAACACCAGATTCTTTTATTATTCATGAAAATGCATTAAGTATTTGTGCTAAAAAGCATGTTTTAAATGTTCCTTCAGATATAGATTCAGTTAATATATTAACATCATCAATCAATTTTATCCTATATATAAAAAATCGTTAATTTCATTCTTTTTTTTGGTAAGATCAAGAAAAATTAAAAAAAAAATTTACATAAGTTTCACATAATCTATTGTAAACTCCTTTTCAAATGGAACATAATATCATTTTGATGTTTAAGGTTTTCTTTGGTTTTATCAATATCATGATTAACCAATTCATTTAAAAATAATTTAATTTCCTCCTTCTTTTCAGTTTCATCATCATTGTTTTCTTCTCTGATATCTTCTAGCATTTTTGAAATAGTATTTTTGTCAAGTTGATCAAAAAATACTATGTCATAGAATTCTGCATCTTTCCTTGTCAATTTTTTTTCCTGTTGATATTGAGTTAGTTGATCACAAATATCTGATCCATTTGCAACCCACTTAGTGTTTTTACCACCAGTTATTGTTTTATCTTCTTCAAGTTCATCTTCATCTTCTTCTTCTTCTTCCTCACTATCATAACCATGTTTATTATTTTCAACAACAAAAGGATTGGGAAGTGATTGTTTACAAATTTTAACAGTTGGAATTAATGTTGTTTCAAATGATAATGACGATGATTATGGTGACAACAATGACAATGATGATGATAACTGTGACTTTGATATTTGATTTTCATGCTCACTATAATAACAAAAAAATGTTAATCAAACATTAAACAACAATATTGACAAATGAAAAAAATGAAAAAAATATATAGAATGACAACAAGTGGAGATAACCACCATACTTACAATAAACACTTACTCATGTTGTTCTCTTTGCTTTTCTTGCTTTCTTTTGGTTCTTGGCATCTTTAAAAATTCAAAGAAATTAAAAATTTGTTTGATCAACAAAAACACATATGGTACAGGATACCTAGTCCCTACAACTTTCTGCACTACAGTGACAGATTTGGGAAAAAATTCCCAATCAAAAATGTTTACAGTCACGTGTTTTAAAAATGTATTTGTCACGTTGCATTCTCTTTATTAGTATCACGTGATAAAAGATCTGCGATACAGATTTCAAAATTTTCAATTCTTCCAATTCGTTCATTTTTAAGGGTAGAGTATACGTAACACGAATCTACTATGATCTACAATGGCTAATTTTGATTTTATCCAGTTAAAAAAGTAAGCCACATATTAAAGACAAATACAAAATAAATAAAATTGTACAAATTTTATATCTTTAGCTTCTCAAGATTCTGAGTTTTAATTTAATATACAAACCATA